AACATGGAAGTGGAAATTTAAACAGCGTTCCAGCAGTGTACAATGACCACAAATATTATTGAGTGTTTGAATAAGGAGAATTAGACTCACCCACGAAGAGTGTCACTGTGATTGGTTGTTCAATTCAGAGTAGCAAGCCCTGAAAACATATACACTTAAAGAGAGAATGATACTCATCAGCTTGTGTGTGTACATCCACATACATATGTATGTATCAAAAATAATCAAAGTAGGTGGTTATAATCATACAAGATATTTTAAGGAGGGTACGTATGAAGGGCTCAAGGAAGAAAAAGATGGAAAATGATATAAGTTGATGACAATGGAAAACAATAAAATGTATTTAAAAAAAATCACCTGACATATAAAGAACACACTGACATTTGTGTTTGGATTTTCTTTCTAATAACACAGAACACTGAACTTCATATATTTTGCACACAGGAAATATGATACTTGACTATATGATTCATTTGAGTCTTCTCAATATTAACTATGTTATTTTTGACTTTGTTGAGGACTAATTACTTTTATTTTTCATTACATGTCTTAAAGATTGTTTAAGGTATTTCTATATATGCATAGTTTCAATTGAGTAACTTTCCCCAATCAGCCTTTCCTCAAAGTTATGGCATGTGAATCTAGTGTCTTCCTCATTTGCTTTTGCAAAAAAAAAAAAAAATAAGAAACAGAAGAAAGTATGGAGAAATACATTTTTTTGTCTGTGAGGTGTTTGAATCTAAGATCCAACTAGAAAATAAACAACTATTGTTACATGTGTATAAAAAGGTATTTGCCATGGAAGATATTGCCTGAGTTTTCTCCTTCTGACAAAACCTTAGTATGAGGTCTGTCATCATTGTACATGTGTATGCTCAAGCAAAGACACAGACATTTTCCTTGTACATTAATGTTACAGAGGATAGTAAGATGGAGGAAAAAGAAAATATTTAAAAACTGTTCTGGTTTGATCTCAACCTGAACATCTGAGGCAAATTGCCTAGGATTAAATATGACAGCAAAAACACAGGGAACTGTGGCTATTGGGGACTCTGAGGTGATTTGTCACTCAACCGAAAATAAAGAACATTTATTTTTCAAACTCTCATGGTTGATTCATCTTTGTACTCTAAACTTCAGTATGATATTTAAAAAATAATTTATATATTTTTAATAATGTATTGGGGTCAACATGTATATATTAATTTGAGAATTTAAAAATACACTGTATAATGAAAAGTGCGGAGGATAGAGTTCTCAATGGATATCTAGAAGGGTCTTGATAAGCACAAGGAAAAAATAAAAATATTATTAAATATAAACACATTTTTGGATGGGAACAAATATCTTCAATCAAAAATTTTAAAGTAATTTCCCCCAATACATTGAAGCTATGTCCAGTTGAAACATGGATATTTGTAAGTCAAAAGGGATTCATAGGAAATTTTGAGGAACATCATGTTACATTCTAAGAATTTGGAAATTAAACATGAGTAATCATTTAGTCAAATCATCAATGAATGAATGTTTTATTTTAGAATTCCCAAAGAGGAAGAGATGAGGGGTAAATTGTATTAGTTTTTAGATTATAGAGATTGCGGCATAGTGTTGAAGTAGTAAACACAGAATGAATATACTTTTACTCCAGCAAGGGCAGTGGGAGTGTCCAGGGCATGTTCCTGCCATACAGAAGAGGATAGACTATGGAAGGAGAAAATAATAAAATAATAAAAATAATAATAATAAAGGAATAATTATTAGTTATATTATTGCAAATAATTAATGAATCTTAAACAATATAAATTATATTTATGGATATTAAAATATTAGTGATCATTACTAATAATAAAATAAATCATTTCCAATTTGATGTCAACCTGAATGGATGATGATAATTGAATTTGATGATAAAGGAATCCTAAGCTAAAGGCACTGCTTGAGATTGGGCACTCTATTTGTCACTCAACAAAAATTTAAAGAGTATTGATTTTCTGAGTCATCATGGTTGATTCATTTTGGGGATGTTTATACCATGGTGCGTATTAAACAAAAATCACAGATCTTTTATAAATTATCAGGGTCCAAGATGGTTATTAATTTGGAAATACTAAAATACAAACAGTTTCATTAAAAATGTCAAGGAGCTTTTTGGAAAAAAAAGATATTAACAGCAAGTGATCTATAGAATACTAGCTGCAATGGCCCATGAAGTCCCTTATTATCATTTGAACCCTCTCAGTTACCTTAAAAGTTAAGTATGGCTAATGCCTATTCTGTATAGTCTCTGTGAGGGCCAAATACAAACTATATGCCAATGAACGCAGAAAAACATGTAATGCACAAAGTGGGTGCTCAAAAAGGAATAACTGAACCTGAACTCAAAATTCTAAATTATTGAAGCTTCATGAAAACATCAGCACTTGTCCTTGCTGTAGCTTATGTATCCAAGTATCTGGCCTTCAGTGGAGGAAATTACTATCAATGATACCCTATGTCCTACTATTTTGCCTGCCACCTCAAGGTGCAGCCCAGCTGTAATGACCCTGGGTTTCGCAGATGATGGAGAAAAGTCCCCTCATAGCTGATTAAGTACAGGTAGATGAAAATGAAGGCAACTGAAGGAGATGGTGGGAGGACAGCAAAGTGAGACACGCTAGCTCTAGAGCTGCGATAGGGGTAGGGCAGATGGGGGCCTGGGAGAGGGGGGTGGGAAAGTTACATTTAAAATTTCTAAGAGAAATTGAAATTTATGTACTGTAAGGTATTCAAACCATTTTCTGTGCAGGAGATTTGATCACACTGTGAAAATGTGTCATTGTTCTATCTTGCCTGCCAAGGCATTTCTGATTGATCTAATAAAGAGCTGAATGGCTAATTTAAAAAAAAATGTCAAGGAGCATATTGCTGGGGGATATTCTTTACAGGAGAATTTTCATAAACATTTCAGTAAGAAAAAGTCACTCCTTACAATGAATTTAGTGCTCAGGAAATGAATATTTGTAACTAGATACTCCTGAGTCATTTTCCACAGACCTAGATTTACATCCAGAAAATGCAAGATCACTATATTTAAGAGGCAAAGCTGGAAAGTTTTTAGGAGTACTTATCACTTGGAGCTTTCAAATCTTGGATATAGGAGAAAGGAAAAATGTTTTTGGAAAAGTCATCATTCTGCATTGTCTTATGAATCAGAGAGAGACAGATAGACATACAGACAGAGACAGAATGAAAAAGAGAGAGACAGAGAGGGAGAGACAAAGAGAGACAGTGATAGGGAAAGAGAGGGAGAGATAGGGATAGAGGTGAACTTTGTCAGAATTTACATATTTGTGACTTTGAGATACACTGAAGAAATAGATGATAGAAAGTTCACATATCGAGAAGATAGTAAAATACCTTATTTATAACAACACATGTATTCAGAATATTAAACACATTATTGGAAATAACACATGTATTCAAAATGTATAGCAAATTGCTAATATTAATAAAATACAACTATAGAAATTATTTGAAAGGGGGCTATAGAAAATAATGTAATGGAGTAATCATTTAACAAGTCCCTTTATTCCTTCTGATAATATAAAATAAAACTTCCAGTGGAAACCATGACACATGTATGGCCATGCATCTGTGCCCAGAAATCATGCCCTTTGCAGGCAAAAGACAGGAAATATAAAAGATCCTTTTTTTTTTAGGCTAACCTAGATCTAAAAAACAAATGCGGCATGTTATTCCCAGTTTCAAATCTTCAAATAAATGTTAAGGACTCTCTTGCGAACTTGCATTCATATGCATGAGACAACATTTAGTGAAAAAAACAGTCCACAAAATTGAAAGAAATTAAGGGGGTACATATTGGAATGCTTAGAGGGAAGAAAGGGGAGTGGGGAATCATGTAATTGTGCTATCATCTCAAATTTCAAAAAATAGAGAAAATAATAGGTTAAAATTTAAAGAAAGCGTTATGAAGGGGCAACTAATTTTTTATAAATATGTCATAGGAAATTATGAGTTTTCAACAAAAAATACTAAATTCTAACTGTAGGTTATTCTGTGTGTCAGAGAGGGAAGTCCCAGAGGATAAACAGGTACTCCAGAGTCCTGATATTCTTGGTTGTTCCTAGAAATGGATAACAAGATCCTATGGCTAGGCACAAAACCGACCTTGGATTTGACGTGTAAAGAAATCAACTGGGCAGGGATGGCCCTTGCTTTAGGATTCGTAATAATATTTTGAGCAGAGTCTATTTGCACATTTTGGAGGTTTTTTGAATGCCATTTTTGTACAGACTGTTTCACTTGATTTCATTTCTTTTGATTAATGATACCAGTATTCATTGTCAGGAGACATCTAGCAGCATTTTTTTCTATTAGTTAAACAGTTAAACATTGGCGATATCTCTTGAAGCTCTGTGTTATAACAGTTGAGTTCAGTGGGCTAGACGAAAAAAAGGACTCAACATATGGAAAGACTTAAAGATAGCACAGGACATATCAATACCTGTATACAAAATCCTTCTTTAGCGTTACAAACTTATCTTCTAACAGTGTGGTTGCTTTGGCTCATATAGTCCAGTCTACAGTTTTAAATTAATTTAACTGCACTGTAGTATGCTTAGATTCAGAATGTATTTTAAAGCACATGCCACGGTTTTAAATGAATCCTATATGACATATGCATATTCATTGTGACCTTTACCCGCCAGTATAGTTCTGGAAGCAAAATGTTTGCTTAAATGTTCTCACAGGGAGAGTTATTTATTTTATTTTTACAAGAATGTTCAATTAATCATCCGAACAGAACCTGACCTTTAGTCTAATTGTATTAGTTTAGGAATATGAGATCACAAACCGTTCAAGAGGGTCAAGGTAGAAATACTGGACAGATCCAAGTTGTTGTGGCACAGAACCATTGGTTGATTCCATGAAACTCCCTTTAACTAACTGTATAAAAAAGCTTTGTCAGTTCAGTTCCTTCACAAATATTCTACTTTGAGCTTCTGCAGAAGAGCAAAGGCTGGTACCACCATGGTAAAGTTTCTGCTGCTGGCTTTGGCATTTGGTCTGGCTCGTGCTCATGTTGAGGTAAATTCATTTGGTCTGTGAACAGGTTTGATGTTCTTCAACAGCATGTTTTTGTGGATGTGATGTGTCTTTCAGTTTGTCCATGCAAGTCCATATTCATTTCTGACTTTCACTCATGTGCACTTTTTCAATCAGATTTTTCTAAGATGAAACAAATGAACAAGGAAACTATGGGTTGAATTTCAGAGCTTAAGAGGCGAGCACATGAGTAATTCCAAAAGGTCTCATGTACCAAATGCTATGTAAATTGAGTCATCATATTACCCTGTGTTATTCTACATCCCTAGAAACATAATTTTTTAACTAATAAAGAAAATATTATTGATTTATGTTTCTAGTTATTTTATGTATTCCCAAGGACTGGGATCATAGATTTGATACCAACTCACATTCTAATGTCCTTTGCTGTTTTTTTTCAGATTGATGGAAACTGGGTTACTGTTGCCATTGCTGCTGACAATGTGAAAAAGATAGAGGAAGAAGGACCTCTGAGAATCTACCTTCGTGAACTTACTTGTAATGAGTCATGTGATAGATTGGAATTCACATTTTATATCAAGTAAGCAAAATGTCAACCATGTAAACTTAGAAGACTATTTACATTTTACAGATTTCATCTTGTTAAATTTATAGGCCAATGTTCTGTTTCTGGTCATGAAATTGAAGGTCTTGTTGTCAGAAATGTGATTATGTTATTCCATAATGGGTTAGCTCTGGACACAACACAGAAATTAGATATTGTGTCCAGTTCCTTTAATGTTTCCTTAGAAATTCTCCAGGTTGGAGGCCTGGGCTTGAATTTCAGGCTTTAATATTATATGCAGGAGATTCTAAGAATATCATTTATATTAATTTAAAAGTATGTGTGAGCATTTGGTTCAAAGACACACATGTTATGTTATTCAGTCAATAATGTCATAAAAGTCTTCTACACCCATCTTTGATAAATCTAATTTGTAAAGTACTGTATCTGATGCTCTAGATTCAGAGATTCTCTCTCTGCCATCTGGATGACAATGTTCAATGAATGAGTGCATAACACCATAAGAACTTCAAATGCTTTAAATCATTCCGATACTCTAGATACAATTATAAGATTTAGGTTACAAATAAAATCACTTAAAACACAAGCACATATTTCAATGTACTTATTGTTGGACTAAAACAAGAGAATTAACATTAAAAATCATACTCAGTGAATAGTCAAATCAGATAAGGAAGAAATCACAGCCTTCATAGGACTTGTTAAAATTGACTCAAAATAAGTCATGTACATAATTACAAACAGAATGATATTTTCTAAACAAGAATTAGGAAAACTGAGGTAAGCACAGATACTTCTCTTTCAGCTCTGTACACTGTTCATCAGGTTCACTATAATACTTGGAGGCTGTTAATACTAATTACAATGTTATAAAGCATAAAGAATCGTTACTCTGTTTAATTTTTTAGGGCAAATGGTCAATGTACAAAGACCAAAGTCACTGGGAACAGGCAAGAAGATGGCAAGTACAATGCTCAGTGTAAGTATGGGATTTGGGAGCTTTCTCTGAACAAAAGCATTGTGGGTGTGCACATACAAGCTGACACTTCAGCCACCCATAGGTACATAAATCTAGAACCATTTTGGTTACTTTGAAATTTATCAACCCTTCCAACCAACTGAGATATGGTACAAAGTCAGAGTACATTGTAGGTCTTCTGAAGTTTACATGGAGAAGAACACTATTACCTGAAGATGTGAGTAATGCTAACAAAACATCTCCAAATAGGTTCCTGCATGAAAATTTACTTCTAGATAAAATCCAGTGTCTTTTCTTTCATACAGTATCTTGGTTGTTATTGGACTGGCCTGACACTCACTAATTAGTCTCTCATGCCCCAAACATATTTGCAAACTTATTGCCTCAGGCTATCAAGTACTCATATTATAGGCCTTTTCCATCAACCTGGATTAATAGAGGATTAAAATTAACAGTACCATTTTAAAGATTCCTTTTCTCATATTTTGTTAAGATCATAACATTTAGATCGTTGGATGATAACCTCAATTTTGCAAAGCAGTTAGGGGAAAGTCTGTTTAAAAATTTCAGACTGACTCAATTTTTAAAAATTGCTAAACTAATAGCAACATTGTTCACTTGAATTATAACTGGTGTGCCTTTTGGTTTGATCTTAAATGAATGGAGTGCACATTCTTCTGGAAAGTCTATTATTTACTAAACTTTACATGGATATTAAAAAGCAGTCCTGTAATTGAAAATATCCAGATCCCAAAATACTTTTATTTCCTTGTGAACAACTTTTATCATTTAATCAGTGTCAGTAAGTATAAATTTCAGACTCTCTCTCTTTCACACAAACACACACATACACACACATACATACACACCTGGAGAGAGATGGAGAGAAAGGTATATGTACATAGAACACTCACACACAGAGACAGACGCATATACACTATGAATGTCTAATAAATTTGACATGTTAATTCTTATAGCTTTTCCATCAATAGTCATACAAGATGAAAACTTTTGTGTCTATTTCTCATTACTACAGTCTTTTTTTTTTTGGAACTATGGGTTTTTATTTTTATTTTTTTTTCTTGAAAATTCTTTTTTTTTTTTATTGAGAAAAGGAGAAAAAAAAACAAGTTTCCACCTCCTCCCAGCCTCCCATTTCCCTCCCCCTCCTCCCCCCCTACGCCCCCTCCTCCCACCCTTCTCCCCCTCCCCCCACTCCTTTCCCCCTCCCTCTCCAGTCCAAAGAGCAGTCAGGGTTTTCTGCCCTGTGGTAAGACCTAGGACCTCCCACCTCCGTCCATATCTAGGAAGGTGAACATCCAAACTGGCTGGGCTCCCACAAAGCCATCACATTACGTAGGATCAAACCCCCGTGCCATTGTCCTTTGCGTCTCATCAGCCCTCATAGTTCGCCATGTTCAGAGAGTCCAGTTTTATCCCATGCTTTTTCAGTCACAGTCCAGCTGGTCTTGGTGAGCTCTCAATAGATCAGCTCCACTGTCTCAGTGGGTGGGTGCACCCCTCGTGTTCCCGACTTCTTTGCTCATGTTCTCCCTCCTTCTGCTCCTCATTGGGACTTTGGGAGCTCAGTCCAGTGCTCCAGTGTGGGTCTCTGTCTCTATCTCCATCCATCACCAGATGAAGGTTCTATGATGATATGCAAGATATTCGTCAGTGTTGCTCAAGGATAGGGTCATTTCAGGTTCCCTATTCTCAACTGCCCAAGGAACTAACTGGGGACCTCAGCTTGGGCACCTGGGAGCCCCTCTAGGGTCAGGTCTCTTGCCAACCCTAAAGTGGTTCCCTTAACTAAGAATTGTGGTTCCGTGCTCCCCTGTCCAACCTTCCTTTATCCCAATCCTCCTGCTTTCCCAAGGCCCGACCTCCTTCCCTTCTAACTTTTCTCTCCCCATCTCCCCTTACCCCCAACCCACCCCACCCCAAGATCCCAATTTTCTCCCCGGCAATTTTGTCTACTTCCCTTAGCCAAGAGGATAACTATATGTTTTTCCTTGGGTTCCCCTTCTTACTTAGCGTCTTTAGATTCACCTATTGTAGACTCCGTGACCCTTATTTATGGCTAGAAACCAATTATGAGTGAGTACATCCTACTACAGTCTCTTTTGCGTATATATTTATTTGTTCACCATGTATTACCATGGTATGACACCAAAGTTTTATACTTTTGGGAAATTGATAAGTGATCTTTTAGATCTGGTTGAAAGGGGAAGGAATACCCAACAGAGTGATCTCATAGGTCTTGACATGATGAATTCAGAGAAAAAGGAAAGTATCTGTACCTAGGATTCATTGTCAGGTCAAAAGAGTATTATGATGGGATGGGCAAAATTAATTACTATAGGAATATCTTTGCACACATTTGTCATATGATAATGAATCAGAGGTGATTGATAGAGTTGCAGTATATAATAACGTTTAGTCAACAAGTGACATCAAACAAAGTAAAAAGATGAGGGACACTCATTTTGAATTGTTTCTGTTATTGCAGTTGAAGGTGACAATACATTTGGACCTGTGTATATAACACCAGAGTTTACAATCTTTGCCAATCAGAATGTGGATAGAACTGGCCAGACTACAAACATGATTTATGTTTATGGTAAGAATAGTAGTGGGTTTTTTTTTAAATAGTAACAAAATTATCATCCAGCAAATAAGGATTAAGTCAGATTCACCCTCCAAATACAGTACCATGGTATTTCCAAACTCCCATGCACTAAATAACAATCTGATTGCTTTGTGGACCAACTTTTAAATTATATTGTAATTTGAGTATCACGGTCATTGAAGATTTGGGGTGATGAGTGAGGTCATTGGAAGTGTTTATGTTCATATTTCCTCACAGGAAAAAGGGAAAACATTTTTTTTTCAAAAGTTCAAACCATTTTGAGTGTCTTTTGAAAAAGTGTGTACTAAATTAAAACATAAACTCTAGGTTATAGACTTGGAAGAAATGTGAGAATTCCATTGACAGGCATCCATGACTCTCTAGGGTCATGTTTTTGAAAGTGGGTAGGATTGAGATGAGTGCACTCTCTAGAGAAGTTTTTTTTTTTTTGATATCATGGAATACTGAAAAGTGATGTCATACCACCATTTAGACTTTATTAAATGTGTTCATGGAATTTGGGGAAAATTATTATTGCCTGTATTGACCCACCCAGGATAGATGAAATTGGAGTAGTTGGGATACCAAGGAAGCAATGTAATTTCTGAAGAATTCTACTGAACCTATCTTTAACATTGTCAATTATACAATATAGGAAAAGGTCAATCTTTGACTCCTGAACAATATGAAAAAATTGAGGAATTTGCTAAGGTCCAGAACATTCCAAGAGAAAATATTCAAGATGTTCTGGCTACAGGTAACCTCAGTGTTTATTATTATGGCCATAGCATTTCTAAATACATAGATACATATTTATTCATATATATATTGATTTACATTCATAAATATATAAGTATATAAACATACTTAGTCTATCTATCTATCTGTCTATTTATCTATCTAGTCATTAAGATTCTGATTTGGAATAAATCTAGTCATATGCAATCTTTCAGTTGCTTTTTCCAGAAATAATCCTTGTGGAGCTGTTCTAATATTCATATGAGAACATTTATGTCACTCCTTACCCCATACATGTTCTTTTACAGATAATTGTCCTAAAAAATGACCTTCTTTAGGTGAGTAGAAACAAAAGCATTGACTAGCCATCTTGATATTTCAATAGATTTGTGTTTATTACATAAAAAATAGAAAAAGTATGTTACAAAGGAAAAAATGAACTCAAATTAGGCAAAATTAAGATAGAATATTAATTGTCTTTTAAGGCTGAATATCATATAGTTACAGAAATGAATGATGGAATATGTTTATTTATAAATCAGTATGAAGGACTTTTATATTGTTCAGAATTGCTAAAATTTTTATATTGAGGACTATTCCATCAATTTAATGTATCTTGTATTTGACAAATAATTCTTTCTTTATGACTGTGGGCTATTATTTGTCACTGTTTTCTACATGTATTATTTGTAAAATAATGTTGATGTTTTCAGAATATTCTTTGAACCCTCTCAATATAAATTTTCATGTATGTCACAGAATGTCATTATTCTCTGTTGAAAGTACTCCTATAGAATCCCAAGTGCAAGGTATTGGTGACTTCTAGGAAAGGAATTGTTTATGTACAATCCATTCTCTATACTCTGTTTTGTTATATTTAAATTTGCATTCATACATTCTCAAGGACAAATACTATTCTGTTCAATCATATTTTAATTTTTGCTTTTATGTCTGCACAGATGACAACACGATGAGAATTATGCATCATATTCTCTTGGGCATGAAATCAGTATTACATATAAATCACCATTTCTTTTTAAATGAATTTTCCCCTCACCTGTGAAGTCTGGATAAAACATACCGAATTGCTGACTTACCTTTTCCTTCCCTTCTAATTATCTATGATCTCTTTTTACTTTTTGAATGATTAAATAAAACATTTCAAAGAGCAATAAAGATGTTTTGTAAAGGATCTCATCCAGAAACATGTGTATGTTCACTAAACTAATTAAAATAAGTACTCTGGTGTAACAACTGATATCTGTATTACTAAAACCTATTGAAATAACTAGAAATGTCACAATTATTGGTGAAAGATGGACACAGGCACTACACAAGTGAATTGTATGTTCTGCTTTATGTTTAATTTTAGCTGAAAATTATAATTTGCAGTTGAATGATCCTTATACACTAAAAGATTTCACAGAACAAACTTTTGGGATCTATCCCCATGTTCCACATTATTTAAAAGAGAGGATGAAATAATGTTTTTAAAACTATATCTGAGAAGATTATCTTTTGTTAAAAGATGTCAGTAAGCAAATGAATCAGGATATGCTTAAATGGTGTACGTATGTATGAGTCATTCTCCTTGAAGAATAAATTCCTGAAAATGATCTTCCAATACAAAATCCTGCAAATATCCATGTGTTTATTACAATTTTTTTATGTAACAATGATTCCTTAGAGTATAGTTTGCTGTCAAAATAGGAAAGGCAGATGCAATCTTCTCTGTGGGCTTGTAACAAAGAAAAAAAGATATTAGTGTTGCTCCATTCAACTTCCTGAAGTCTAAAGATATAACAAAATCAAAGTACTCTCAATATTTATGACCAACATATTTTAATATTAAACAATGATGTTGGATGGAGGCCACTTGTTTCCTGGCTGCTCAGCCCCTGAAAGAATCACACAGGAACTATATTATTTTAACCACTGCTTGGCCCAGTAGCTCTAACTTCTTTTTTGCTAACTCTTACATTTTAATTTAACCCATCTCCATTAATCTGTGAATCACCATGAGGTTGTAGCCTACCATGAAAGTTTCAGTACATCTGGTTCTGCAGCAGCTACATGACTTCTCTCTATGTCCTTTGTTCTCCTAGCACTCAGGCTAGCTTTCCATGCCTACCTATGCTCTTCCCTGCTATATGTCCAAAACATTTTCTCATCGATGCTACAAAGGTAAATCCCACAACACTTCCCCATTTCTGTTTAAATACAAAGGAATATTTTAACTTTAACATAGTAAAACTACATATTAACCAAACAAGTATCAAGAAAGAATTACAGTTACAATATTTATATCTATTTTACTTTTCATCATAACTAAGGCAAACTATAAATATAATTGTCTATTCTTCCACTCCTCAAAGATTCCGGTAGAATATAATATTACCTAAGTAAACAGAAAGTACATTGGAAGCAACAGCCAAAACTCCAGGATTGACAGAGACATCTTGCTGCCAGGACAGTAACTCAAAGTTCTTCTGTACCTTTGGGGCATCCATTTTCAGTCTACAGGCCCATAGTATCCAGCAGACTTTTCCATGAAGCAGAAAATTTCAAAGATAGTTTCTCCTATATTGGCAGTTTCTTAGTCCCTTTCTTCTGTGTCCTGCAGAATATCTGGCAGACTCTTTCATGTAGAAGGAACCCCAAAAGATCATCTCACCTTTATGCAAGTTCAGCGGCCATTTCTCTGTGGGTCTTGCATGTCAAGTTCATTAAGCAGTCCAGGCAAGAGCAGTTTCTTACTCAAATGGCTAGCCAATTCCATAAGGAACCTCTTTGATGTCCATCTTCCTCTCGAAGTAGTTGGTGTTGTCAGGAGCAGATGTGTCTCACTGACATTAAAAGTTTTAAGTTCTTAAAAGATTTTAAATGCCATATTCTGAAGGTCTCTGAAAGACTTAAAGAATACCAATTTAACTGAAATATATCTCTATATATTTAGAAAACCTAACTAACATGACAACAAGCATGACTATATTTCTTAATAATGCATTATATTTTAAAATGAGCTGCACAAACACAATACCATAACCAAGAGCAGAAATATACATATAACAAAATTGACCTTAAGTTTGTATCAATAAACCAAGATCCATAACAATGCAAATCTCTATGGCATACACCCCTTTAAATATAAAAGAACATTTATAAACTGTATTTGGGACTATGGGCATAGTTATTCTCCAAACTGCTTCCTGTTATTTATTGGGTAATTTTTGAGGGTTGTTGAAAGCAACCTTTCGGGTGGTCTTGGTCCATCAAACCATATTAGTCTGAATGTAATCCAC